TCTCACTGTCCACTCGTCTATCCCACAGTTCCCTAGCTTACCTATAAGGATGTGGTGGGAGGCAATATCAAAAACTTTGCTAAAGTCAAGGTAGACCACATCCACTGCTTTCCCCTCATCCACCCAGCCAGTCATGCCATCATAGAAGGCTATCAGGTTGGTCAGGCATGATTTCCCCTTGGTGAATCCATGCTGACTACTCCTGATAATCTTCTTTTCCTCCACCTGTTTAGAGAAAACAGCCAGAATGAGCTGTTCCATCACCTTTCCAGGGATGGAGGTGAGGCTGACTGGTCTGTAGTTACCCGGATCCTCCTTCTTGCCCTTTTTGAAGATTGGAGCGACATTGGCTTTCCTCCAGTCCTCAGGCACCTCTCCTGTCCTCCATGACCTGTCAAAGAGGATGGAGAGTGGCTCAGCAGTAACATCTGCCAGCTCCCTCAGCACTCACATCGGGGCACATGGATTTGTGAGTGTCCAGTCGGGCTAGGAGATCCCTAACCCAATTCTCCTTGACCAAGTGGTAGTCTTCCTTCCTCCAGACTTCCTCTCCTACCTTCAAGGTCTGGGATTCCTGAGGACCAGCCTGAGCAGTAAAGACTGAAGCAAAGAAGGCATTCAGTAACTCTGCCTTCTCCATATCCTCCATCACCAGGGTACCCCAGGGGGCCCACATTTTCCCTGGTCTTCCTTTTGCTACTGATATATTTGAAGAATCCCTTCTTATTGTCTTTGACGTCCCCAGCCAGACTTAATTCCAACCGGGCTTTAGCCTTCCTCATTGCATCCCTGCATAGCCTGACAACCTTCCTATATTCCTCCCAAGTGGCCGGTCCCTAATTTCTTCAAGTCTAGGGTAAATGGCAGTGCTGTTAGAACAGTGTCAAGTTCTGCTTCAGCTACGTGAAGTGAGAACTGCCCTTCCAAATTAATGGCCACACTTTTTCTTCCCCAGCCCTTCTTTCTTTTGCTGATCCTGGCAAACAGGAGAAAAAAAAAAAGCTGCCTAAGTTGAATCCAAGGAGAATAATCTGAGGACCTCCCTGGGAACTTTACAGCAGGGGAGCTTGGACTTGGTGTGTTTGGGGGTTGGACTTGTGATCTATGGAGAGAAACAAATAGCCAATCAAACAGGAAGACTGGGAATAAACCTGTACTGTAGGTCTGGAATAATTGAAATAAAAGTCTACAAGAGATAACTAGGAAGAGAAGGGAATGGAAGTGCAGGGAAGGGTGTCACACTTAATAAGAAAACCAACACACAGCGACATACCACCTGCTGGAAGAGAGATGGAGACAAGAAGCAGGGAAGAGTTCTGAGAGGGAAATTATGACTTGAAGTATGAGACATATAAAATGGGTTCACAAATAAGAGGTTGAAGGAGAATGAAGAGAGACCAAGTATATGAAAACAAGGAAGAAAGGCACTGAGTGCTCACAGAAGCAGGTGAGATGGGACAGAAGGAGCAGAGCATGGAAAGAACAAGGCAAGAGGCCTGGGATGGAGCCCATGTCTTGGGAGCACAAAGACAAGGTTTCCTCACTTGGGGCAAACAGCTGCAATAGCTTCCAGCAAAGTGTGTGCTGCTTCTGATTCTGTTATAGATCAGCACAGCAAATGACAACTTACTACTTCTGTTAGTCACTTGGCTACCTCAGGTAGCGCAGGTCTGTTTTCTAGATTGAACGGTTCCAGCCTCACTCACACTGATTGTGCCACATCAGTTTTAAATTTGTTTGAAAATGGCAAACAAAAATCTTACATGAAGTGAAACAAGATAGAACTACTTGAAACAGACTGTCATAATACATGCATGCATGACCTACCTATTTGTTTCATTTTGTCAAAATGCTCAACTCTTTCAAGCATTGCGGTATTTGTATAACAGGTTTTTTCATGCAGTGCTGGCTAGTGGTCACTAAAGCCCCTTGCTGTCCAGTCCCTCCTGCCACAGAAAATCCATTTTGCTTCAGAACCGAGGGCTGATGAAGAAATCTGAGGCTTCAAGGGATGAGCATAAGAGACCTTATATCAGAGGAGGCAGAAGGTCTTAAACACCTCTGAAGAGTCCCTAGGACTCTGCTGTGGTTAGGTCCACGTGAAAGTGCCTGGGGAAAAGAGTTATTCTGGACAAACCCACTGGCATACTTTACACACGCAGAACTAAAGAGATGCTAATCCACAAGGCTCCAGAATGTGTCAGACAAGAATATTAAATATAATGCCAGCACGCAGACCTAACCTATCCTATCTTAAAGGAATAAAACTCATGGCAAAGGTGTGTATGGTGAACACATGATAATGCTGAGACCAAACGTAATCATTAAATTAAACTAGAAAGAGGGTGGAACAACATTTTCGCTCTTCAAGTTTTACTGCTGTCTGGGTCTGAATGCTATCACTTCCAGACCCGTAACACTTAGTCTTTTACACAAAGATGCAGAGAATATTTGAAGTTAAAAGGAATCCCCTCAGATCTTCTAATCCATGAAGTTTTGAGATGCTATTTCTTGCCAATATTAGGTAGATATTTTTCCACTTATAATATTCACTGTATAGATTTTGAGATTTTTTTATCTTAAGTGTCATGTGAAACAGGCGTTCTCAGGAAGATGCAAAAAACCAGACTGGAGCAATTTAAAAATCATTTGTGCTGTTTAAAATAACCAGATGCCAACACCAGCTACATGGCTTGAGATTGAATGACACTGGGTGAGGGAGGAGAAATACCTGATTAAAATTATATTGCATTGAAATTCTTTGAATCTTCAATATTTGACTTCATTTGAAAAGCAGTATCACACCATATTTTCACATCTAAAACTTTAGTGAAAACTTTAGTCCAAGGCTGATTTGGGCAATGGTCTTTTCCTGAGATTGTTGCATCAGTGATGTGGCCATGAATGATCTCCTGTTGCCTAGGCTGCTCCGACGCAGATCCTAGACTAGACAGTTGTATTGGCTAAACTGCGGATTTACCACTCATTTGACTCACATGGCTGTGTGAGTACAAAGTGCAGCTATGTTAATATAGCTGTTCCCCTACTGGGAGCACTTTGCCACTGTGTGTATACGGGCTTTCTCAGGTTGGTAAAATGTTTCTAGTACAGACACTTCCTGTTCCCAATACCTAAGCACTGTTTGAGGCCACATGGAAGTACAGACACACAGTACAGGCTTGTGCACAGCTAAACTGTGTATGTGCACAAAGATATGCATGTACGACAGAATACTTCCTCAGCAAGCAGAATTGCAGAACTCCTGTAATCTTTTCAGTAGAAATGGCCCTGGAAGAAGGCAAGAATGAAAGTGATGCTTTACAACAAAGACAGTAACAATTCACCAAATCTGTAGGGATGACCCTGGATGCTGCCGGTGGAGCTCTTACCGGTTCTGAAGCACTGGCATTGGTAAGGTGATGAGAAACCAGTGGTCACTCCAGCTCCCTGCCCTTTCCCACATTGGCGAGATGACTTGAGCTCCTTTTATCTCTTCCCTGACAGAGAAGGAGACAGTACCATTGTAGCTACCAAAAACACGCACTGAGAATTGGATCTGTAATAGAAGAAGAGAAAAAGAATGGTATCCTGTGATGAAAAGGGAAAGGTACTCACTTTTCCCCTCCCTGGAGATTTGAGACAGCAAAAACTTTGCTCCTGTGTCAAACTCTTTAATCATGCACACCACTAAGCCCCCTCCCCATTACTTGTGTGTGACTCATCACTGTTCCTAGAACAGAATTTTCTCGGTGGAGACCCTGACTGACACTCCTGTTGGGCAGCTGTTCTCCAGCCACTGACGACACTATCCATGGCCTCAGATGTCATCTGGGTGAGAGCACATTGCTTTCCTTGTTATGTCCTTCAGGAACAAAGAGTAGTAAAGCAAAGAAACTCTAAAAATGCTTTGTCACTAAATGCTTCCACTAGAGTTAGGTTATTGCAGAAAAACACTCCTAACTGCATTCCTCTTCAGCTGTTCTCACCAGCTTAAAGATTCCTGTGAAAGGGTTTGAAACACAGGTTAAATCTTTTAAGGATTCCCATTGTAAACACCACGGTTAATGTGTTGCACTGATACGGCTCAATCTATACACAGGCACCATACAGGTCACAAAAGCACTCTAAGGGGAGAGCTGCCCTGCCCCAAATGCCTTGAAATGAGGAATTAGGCTGTCCCTAGAGGCAGGAAACCTCAATCCATATACTTGCTCCTAGTCATAGGCACCATCTGGACCATAGCACCCATATGACAGGTGAGCAACCTGACCACCAGGCCAAAGAATATTTTGAAGCAGGACTTGTTCCTCTTTCTTTGGAGGAACCACTACCACTTTGCTACTGAGCAAGAGAGAACTGCGATTTCCACCACTGCTTTAGGCACCCAGCTGCTCTCAGTTTTACAGAGATCATCAGCAGTAAAGGGAGCGCACACATGTATGCGCTGCAAAGAGCAACCACAGGAAGTTCCTTGCTCCTGAAGTGTAGGTTCAAATCCTTGCCAGTGGAGGAGAGAATCGGTCCAGATCTCCTGTGACCTGCACACCATAACCAACAGTTACTGCTTTTCCTCCTTCTGGTTTTGTAAACCTAGCTCCAAGCACATTTTATTTTGTTGGAACTACCCAACAAACTTGACCTGGATTTACAAATGAAAATAAATGCTGAAGTTATATTTTTGACACCTGCACTGTGTTTCTTTTGCCAACTCTAATTATGAGGCATAAGAGCTTTCCCCTAGCAGGCCTGGACTCCAGCTCAAGCTTGCAGCTTAATTTTCCTAAGCGTTATGAGTAAAATATTATTTAATATTTTTAATTCCAGAATCTCAAGCTCCCCTTATTCTTTGTAGACATCTGGGCTGAAGGCAGATTATGTGACTTTATCCATGCCAGGTTGCCCTCACTTTTTGAAATTCCTGAAGAATGTGAACAGAAGTTTATCTTCATCTATTCCTAGACAATCTAATGCCTACCAACTTCACATGCCTGTTCCCAGTGAAATTGTCAAGTTTGTTAACTCCTACAAAAATATTGCAGAATTTGTGAAGAGAAGTCTCCGCAGCAGGTATACTGAATGGCTCAACAGCCCGGACAGCCAGCTCCATTGCCCACAAAACAAGACCACCCCACACAATTCAGGTGCCGGGAACTCTTCAGAGGAACAATCAATATGGTTAGCCTGGGGAGTTTTCCCTACTGAGGAGCTGATTTGAGGCTCCTGCTTTCACTTACTGGGGATGCACCTCACGTCTCCTTTCCAGTTTTCAACAAGCAGCCAGCTAGGCGGCATAACCAGCTCTTCTGCTTTCCAGCGTTCCATGGAGCGTGCAGAGGCTGAGGAGAATAGGCTAATTGTGCAAACAGTGCCTACAGCCTGATGATTGACTCCACAAAGGTGCTAAGAGAGAGTGATATACCTGGTAGTTTTCAGTGGCAATACTGGCTGGCAAGATGGTACTGTAAGCCTTGGCCATACCGCTCGTCTGATTACTGTCTGCTCGCAGGTAGAGGAAGTGTCCTGTGAACAGAAAAGTGAATCAGAAAAGACAAGATGATGTTCTGCTTTATTTTATAGGCTCTTGAGATAATTTAACATCATTGTGCTGAAGCACAGTGTGAGTAAGACGACAAGCATGACTTGAGAGCAAATCTATTAGTGTGGATATAATAAGCATGCTGGTAGGTTTCAGCAGCACAGAAGTTGGCATCCCAAACCCTTTCCTGGAACATGAGTGCATAAACCTCAGACACCACTCAAGTATCTTCTTCTACAGTGAACTCCTGATCAGCCCTATTTCTTACACCATTAGCATCAATGATTCTTGCTGAGACAAACACTGGCCTGGAAGACATTATTTGTAGTCTGTGTTCACAGGGACAGTTTATATAAGCTCTCAACAGACAAACAGGACACTCATATGGACACCCTTCCTTTTCACAGGAAACTGTGAGGCAAGACTCATCTATGCTAAGGCTTCTGACTTTCTACCTGAACATGTGAGGGTCTGGCCACCCTCCTTCTTATATATCAAGCTGAACGTTCTGGGAATTACCTGAATCCTTTTTTACGGTGGTATTCTATGGCACAGAATGTATATGATCACTTGGTCTTGGGATATGCTTACAAGTGATGCTCTTCCTAACCCACTGGCAGTCTGGCAAGGGTCTCCAAAAGATATGTTTCTACAAGCTGCCTAGCTCTGTTGGGCAATTTTTACCTTCTGATGCAGCAGCTGTCATGTTGCTGCTGAAGTACTCCGCAATCGCATAGCTCACCAGAGGAAGAAGTGGGTAAGAAGCATATACAGAGAAAAAGAATTCATTATGTAATCTTTTAAGGTGAAGGAGAATCCTAGACTCTGGCAGTTTCATGTTAAAGTTTGTTGCAGAACTTGTTTCATATAAAGTTGCAAATCATATTCAAAAGTTAATTTGAGCTACGTTTAAAGTTGTTACAGATAATACTGATGCTAAAGTTCATTTGGCACTGATGCTGAAATTTTTAAACCAATTTTAAAAACCTGAGTTCAAGGCTATCGTATATATACAGACACACACACACATACACAAAGAGAGTGAGAGAGAGCTATGAGGAACCTACCACCAGTGGCTTGCAAAGCAGACCCTACAAACGAGTTATCTTGAATCATTTCAGTAAAGCTCCGAATAGACCAAGGAGATGCTGCAATTTCATTCAGTGTCCAGCCACACGGACCCTCTTCAAAAGAGCAATGTGAGCCCTCTGGAAGACTGTCTACAATGCAGAACAAAAAAAAAGCAGGAAAATAGAAGAAACTTGATTATGGAAGAACACAAACGACAGCAAAAGTCAAAACTCGTTGTGGCTGAGCTATCCAACCTGTGCTACACAGTTTTCAATGTCAAAATATTAGTAGATCTCATGCTTATTTCCAGAATCACCATCAGAAACCCCACACTTTGCTTCTGGAGATATTTGAGACTTTGCAGTTCTGTCCTGCTTTAGATACTAGAGTACAGAACTGCAGCTCCCACAATCTAAAGAATGGTAAATCACTGCCATATGTTTGTAAAGGCCATGCTGCATATGAAATTGCAGGCATCACAAAGATTTCTGTGTCCACTTAAGGGAAGGCAAATCAACTAATTATTTTAGATCTCTGCCGTTGTACTTGCTACAAAGCTAAATGATGTTTCTTAGCACCACATATACCAAATCAGGGGATTTCTCTGTAATGATGTGCAAGAACTACTGTGAACTGGGATCTTGGAGGGACAGATTTATGACTGTGTTGGTGGCCAGCACAAGAAAGATGGTCAGCACCTTCCACTGAAGGGAGGTTCAGACCTTGGGTCCAGAAGGAATTTCTCACCCAGCTGCAGACATGTAAATAAGATTTTGCCTTTCTCTGAAGTATCAGCAACTCTGAAAGGGAAGTCACTGAGCTCCTTACTGCAATATTTAAAAAACCGAACAAAACCAAAAAAAACCAAAACCATTTTATCCTATATAGGGTGAATTTTCAAAGAGAATCTTGGTATCAGATTAATGTAAATGGGCTAAATTAATTTAGGAGGCAAAATACCGAATTAATCTAGAGATAGAATAAATTTAACTTACTTTTAATTCTAAATTATTTCTTCTAATGGGATGAAGGATCCCATGAAGTGCCATGTACATACCACACCTCGCTCCTTGTTCTTTGGCAGGGCAGTCACTGACGAATTCACAGATTTGTAGGTGGCTGACACAGCCTCCATGAAGGCAGGGCAAGGTGGAGCCTTTGTTGTACATGGAAAGATCTTGGTTTTCTTTATCTAAAGGGAAAACGAGAAAGAAGCCCAGAGACAAACTGCCAGAATGTGCAGGACATTTCATGTGTATCAGCCTTCATGTGTATCAGCCTCCATGTGTAGGACCTCTGAAAGCATCCTTTGGGTGATAAGTGATACTCACCTCTGCTTTTTACCATGTAGGTTTCTACCTAGCATGAGATTTCTGCAGATCACCTCAGCTTTCATGGAGACCAAATTTATTGCTCCTTCCTCTCTCATGTACTGTCTTGTGCTATCTTTAGATAATCGCTTTTGCAGGGTTTTTTTTTTGTGTTTTCTTTCTGTTTTGACAAAGGACCTTGCGGTTTCCTACCATGGTGCGTATGTCAAATTGAGACCTCAGGCTTAACTAACACTTGTGCTGCTGACACATTTCTGTGCCAGCTCTGTGGCACCCAGTGAAGACAGCTTCTTCCCCAGCAAGTCAGCTCATTGTGTATTATATAAAAATATGATGTTTGCTAAAAGATTAATGACTGCAATAAAATTAAATCTCTAATATGATCAAAACCAGTCTCATGATATATTATGAAACAGCTCTGTGAAACTAGTATTCTCTTTTTACATTTGAAGTTTTTTACGTTACACTTAACATTATCTCTACAGTGTCTGCAAAATGGAAGCAATAGCATTATATTAATGCACGAAAAGCAGGAAGTGAAGATGATCATGTCCGCAACCTGCAGGCTGCCCATGCTGACAGACTTATACTTCCAAGAAGCCTAAATGACATTAGCAAGGTTCTGCACATCTACTGAGGATCATTTGCACGACATTCACAACAGGACTGTAAGTGCCAGGTAAAACTGAGGATTTCTGAGATGAGCACTCAGTACTTTGGAGAAAATAATTACATTCCAATAGTTTCATTTTAGACAGAAGTTCTCAGCCTGGCAGTAACAAACAGACCCCATGGAGTGCAGATAAGTGTTTCTTTTCTTTACAGATTTGGAAAATAGAGCCCCAGTACGGAAAAGGCTTTGGTGACACAGAGTAGTCTTTTGTTCTTGATTATTTAAGAAAGAAAAATATTCAATGCTAAAATAATCTAAGCAAAGACTTTTTTACATCCCTGTTGCTGGATGCAGCATAAGCCCTGTTGTTTTCTCATACAAAGATCAAGCAAAGCAAAGCTGAAAAGTAGAGAGGATCACTTAAATCAGTTGTATAATTCTGAGCTTCAGCCCTGCCTTTGGAGCATGTACACACATGTCCATACACATAAAACACATGAAAACGTGCTCTTGACAGGCAAGTACTGCCAGAAATGCCAGAAGAGACTTGGCTTTTGTTTAAACCCCGACTGACTCCCTGATCACACTTATCAGTTTTGGTGAGGGTGCTGCTCTTTTCTGAGTGCGTTTGGCTATTCCAAACCTGACTGTTTCGCAACATACCATGAAAGCAATTCCTGAGTTGCAAGGAGCCCACTGCCAGTACTCCAGCCTCTTGTGCTCCACAGTTAGTATAGAGCAAGGTGATTTTAAAAGGTCTTTCTATTCGGCCAATCTGGGCCATCAGGTATTTCCATTTCATCCTAGAAGACAACAAAGAGCTATCAGACATACACAGAGCACACTGGAATCCATGGAGTCTCTAGCATAAAGATTCTGCACTGTGCCAAGTAGAAGTAATATCATGAATGTAAACTCCAACATAATGAGCAGGTGTTAATATAAAACACATGTTCAGCCTAACAACCTCATGTTCAATTATCTTTGCAGATCTTATTGCTAATGATGAAAAGATCCAACCATTCCCAGTGATTCTTAAATTAAAATGGGGCTTAAATTACCACCAATTTTGGACACACACCCCCATATGTGCCTTCCGCATATAAGGTTTTGTACTGTTTGCTCTTGCAAGTACAGATCAACCAAGCAGCCGCACAAGTCCCTGGATCTCCTCAAGCTAACACTGACAGTGTATGTTCTGGAAGTAAATGTTTGGCCCTAAATGTTTCTTGGCTGTCAAGTCTGAGAAACTTTTTCTGTGAGTTCTCTATCTAATCTCCCAGTTTAACAAGCTAGCATGCACCTACAAAGCAAGGGGAAGAAAAGAAATGGTGTTCCAGAAAATGCAGATGGCTCCAGCAATTTACATTTCATCACAAAACGAATGCCATAGCCCCTAGACAGCAAAGGTTTCTCAATTGTGCAGCATTTGTGGCAGTTCAGAGGAAGACAGCTGGTCCTATGCACTCTAATTTTAAAGATGGTTGTTAGACACTAAATGACAGAGAGAGATACCAAATGGGAATTTTCAAAGTACCTCACTCAAATTGGTCTGATGGAAGTCAGGGTATCCAGGCGTCATTACAAAAATCCAGCAGGGTTCTTGAAAATACTTTTATTTTATTTTTATTTTTAAAAAACTGTCCTTCTGTCTCATGTTAACAAGATAATAAAACACAGTCAAAACCGTATGTTATTATTTTGTAAAGGGGTTGTAGCAAGGATTGTGACAAAGGAGTCCTCTCTAAGTTCTTTTCTGAAAAAAGTACCAGACAGACATAAATTTACCCATGTCCTACATGCTGCTGATGTTGCCAGGGGCACCCTGGATGAGTGATTCTAAGTCAGCACCAGTGACATGGCCAGGAGGCCATGTTGCTCAGGCTTTGCTCCTATTATTACTGTTACATTTGAGAAATGCCTTCAGCTGCCACGAACTGATCATCTAGCCTTCATCCTGCACCAGAAACACATTAGAAGGCAACACCCGGACAACAAATACATCTCTACCAGACACAGTATAGAAATCACAGACCACCTAATTTGCAACTTGGAAAAAAACACAAAGAAACTTTAATTATTTATTGCCCTCTCTGCTTTTGCTTGCCACTGATTAGTTACCTAACTCATTCTTCCCTCCACAAACCAAGTATATACCTTTTTCTGGTAAGAGTTTCTTACTATCCTTTCTATGGCATCTACCCAACCTTCTACTTCCACCATTGTACACACACATAAATACCCACAGATACCCTAAACTCACCTGAAGTTGAGCTTCTCCTATGAAGATGAGCCTCCTTTCATCTCATCAAGATGACCCTCAAGACCCTCCTGCTTTCTGTCTCATCATATCATATTCAATAGGTCAATATAATTTAATTCAGCTTCAGAAATGTCCACAACTGCACCATCTCTACTACTCAACAAAGGAGAACAACTGCTATCCTTTCATGTTGTATTACCATGCAGCTTCAGGAATGTCCAGCACTTATAAATATACCTTATAAATACACTTACAAATATATCCCCCACTGCTACACTGTGGCACGACATCTGCAACCATTCAGAACTGACCCAGAACTGAATCACTTCTGCTACATGACACATTGTTCATCACTCCGTTGCATCCTGTTGGCCAAAAAAATCAATGGGCCTTAATCAAATTTGTTCAGTGAGCCACTGAAGGTAAGAACAGTCTTTAAATCTTTCGAATTTACCTATTAAGCATACTAGACCTTCCAAGCACTGAGACATAGTTCTAGTAACTCCACCAAGTTACAACCCACCTCGCAGCTGAGATCCCAGTATCGTCAGTGTTACCACACTCCTGAGTGCAGAACCTGTAGCACACAGCCTCTGATTCACAACCAGCATCACATTTAGTAGTAGCAACTGAAGAGATTACTGCCCCACAGCTGAAAACAATGACTAGTTCAGCTGCTGCACCTTAATCCTACATGATTTATGAGCCAGACACTTTGGAACTTGCAGCTTATAGCCTGGTATATCAAAATCAATGAAAACCAGTGATGATGTAAGTCAATAACCAACCATCTGAAACGTCAAAACTGAGAAAGACACACTGCCCATTCTGCCTTCTCTGCTGAGAGAACTGCGGCATCTGGTAGAAGAGCAAGGCCACTATCTTAAACCATCACTTGTATGAACTAGAAGCTTTTCTGAGTCAGTGCCCTAAGGTCCTATGAAACATTCTAGTTCTGCACTGAAGTATCTCTAGTACTGAAATTCAACTCCGTTTATAATACCACAGCAAAAGCTGGCAAGCATCCAGAGACCGCAAAAATGACAAGTAGCTTTGCATTATTTGTGTATGGAGTCTCATCATCATCAAGGTATTCCCCTTCAGAGAAAGCCTCGCCCCCAAGACCCAACAGCAGCAAGATTTCTAATGCTGTAAATAATTACACTTTCTTTGCTTGGTTCCACTATCCAAACAGGGGCTAGTCAGAGCCAATTTAATTTTCTTAATGGAATCAGGAACAAAGCCCATTGTCGATCTAACAGAAGATGGATCATTGCAGCAGGCTTCCAGATAAGCAAAGCTTGGCAATACCTTTACTATTGATTTTATGTCAAACCAGATCTCAAGTGACGAGGTAATATTACTCTTCTTCTAAACAGAGATGTTAAAATTTATATGTATGTATGGAAGAGCTATCAGTCTGACATAATTTTGAGAAATTTGCATGGATAGAAAGTTTGCAGTTGCAAGCAACCTGATGCTTAAGGCAAGAGAATTCAAAATTCACCCTGCAAACCTACAATTTCAACTTTTGATTTGTATTTTCAATTTTGGATTTTCATTAGCCTCTAGATCTCCTCTGCTGAGCAGAAGTTTTTCTCCTCCTCTTTACCAATCCTTTTTATGCCATGCCTTTCCATATCCAACAAAGGTAACTGATTGTTAACTTTAAGAAAAGCTTTTAGTATTAAGAACAACAATTTCCTCATGAAGAGTGAAAAATTCAGCAAAGCTGAAGAGGAAAGCTGAAACCTTTTCTGAATTAGGGGGACTCAATGCATGGGTTATTGCACAAAGGTTTGTATGCTAAATGCTTCTAGGCTAAACCAGTGAACACACAAATTAGAAGCTTTACATTACTTTTCTACACACAGGAAGTTGTTGCCTTTAAGTCTTCACAAATATCCAGTTCTAGCCATTGGACTTAAAAGGAAATAGATGAGAGAGCAGAACACATACCCACCCCTCTTGTCTTCACCAAGCAGTTAGAGGGTTCATATTTGACCCAGCGTATTTTTGGGTGCAATTTCAACAGAAGCATGAGGGGCAGTAAATCATACTCCCAGATCAGTGTTTAAAAATCATAGTCTTATATAACAGCTGGACAGTCTCTCCTTTTCTAGCTGCATTTTTTAATCAAAATTATTGTGCTCGTTGTTGTCAGTACGTGTCAGGCATTTTCTGAGGATGCTTACCAGACTACTCCCTTTCAAAGGCTCATGTAGACAGACACCTAATTTATGAAACCCAAATGACCATACATGTTTCTATACGTTTAGATTAGCTATAAGGCAATGTTTCCATGTACAACAGTAGAAGTTAACTTTTGTGGATAAAAACAACCACATTAGTAGAACAGAAGTGCCAAATAAGTTTCTACAAGTATCTCAGAAGTTGGTAGGGCATTTTAGCACACCACCCCCCCAAAAAAGGGGGAAGACACAAAAACCTAAGCAACCTAATTGTTTCATGAGGTTCGCTAACTGAAGACCCATGTGTGCACATGGCCGTGAAATTTTTGACCTACCAAAACTATCATGGCTAGTGCCTTATATTTCAGAAAGAAAACAGAACAAAATCAACTCAGCTTATAGACCACAGAAAGGAAAACGATTATCTCTGGCCCGAGTGATGACTTTTTATTTTCACTGAAGTGTGAGTACTTAGAGTTGAAATAAACTAGCTCCTTACTGAAACAGTTTTGGTCGACAACAAACACAAGCATGTGAAACCATTCAAAACAAAAGCACACAGGACTTGGAAGAATTTTCAGCTCTGACTGTACCTGGGTCTGTGTGGTAAAGAGGGAAAAGGTGGGATAAGCAAAATAGTAAAAAAAATCATTAGATGTGACCTGAACAAGCTCTGTAACTGTAACCCTGAGAAAGTGAAGACAGTTTTCTAAGCCAAGTGCCAGATGAAGAACGCTTGGACTTGCAAGTAAAGCTACAGGCTCTTGATGTTTGAGCTCTACTAAGACAATGAGAAATATGATTTTATATATTTTTTGTAAATCTATAGAATTTCAAACACCTCACTCCTTCAGTGGTTCTCCCTCTAATGGTAGTAACTTAGAATACCCACACCCTATAGGTGTATATAACAATAAATACTGTGACTTTGCCCTACGTGTTCAGAGGACATGGTATCTGAAGGTCCACCTGCTTCTTTGTTCTTTCACTAAGGTACTATCCTGGTTTGGGCTAAACCAGAACTAATTCTGTTTTAGTGCTTTAACTTTTCAGTTAAGTCTCCTCTAACTAACTGTACTTTCTGAAACAGCAGCCTGTTTTTCCAGACAGCGACTGCTCCTAGCAGTAATAAGGCCTGATGTTTATAGTTCGTACCAAGGAATGGGATGCAGAGAGGCCCTTGCTTATACTTGTTCTTATAGCGACCAAGGTCACTGTTAAACCTTGTACTCCGTGTTGGGGTGCTGGGAGTGAAAAGGGTCGCAAGCATGAAAAAGGTCGCACCTACAGGGAGGAGCAAACCGCACAGGTGACCCAAACCTGACTCTGTCTGTTCTTCTGTCGTTGA